CTCCTACTTTCTAACCTTAAAAACATTCTCAATGTTCTACTCAAAAAGACCAAGATGATTATGTAATACTTTGATTATATATCCATGTCAACTATGTTTGTAGAATAAAATCCCAGAAATTAGCTGGGTGTGGTGGTATACACCTATAACCTCAACACTCAGGAGGCAGAGGCAGGAGGATCCTTTCAAGTCTGAGACCAGCCTGGCCTATAAGTGAGCTCATAGCCAGCCTGAACTGCCTAGTGAGACCCTGTCTCAAAAAGACAAAAAAAAAAAAAAAAAAATCCCAGAAGAGTTTACTAGAATGAAGAATCTGCACATTTTAAAAAGTAGGACATATTGGCAAAAGTCAACCCATATTTCTACCAATAGTTTATGAAAATGTGTACTTCTCTATACTCACCAGTTCCAGTCTTACCATTTTACTCATTTTTTTGCCAATATATATTTTAAATTAAAGTATAAATTTGTACTTTTTTTCCAAATAAAACTTGGGATTGTAGGCAAACAGTTTCAAGGTATTCAGGAGGCTGAGAAAGATCACAAGTTCAAGGCCAGGCTGGGCAACTTAGGAAGCCCCTGCCTCAAAATAAAAATAAAGAAGCCACGCATGGTGGGGCACACACATACAATCAAGCACTGTGGTAGGCTGAGACAGGAGTATAGCAAGTTAAAGCCCAGCCCAGGCAACTTAGCGACTTAGTGAGATCTTATCTCAAACTTTTACATTTTTTTAAAAGGTTGGAGATGTAGCTGAGAAAACCCTAGGTCTAATTCCCAGTACAGAAAAACTAACATATTTAAATAATAAATAAGTAAATGAGGGCTGGAGATGCAACTCAGCAGAATACTTGCCTAGTATGTGCAAGGCCCTGGCTTCAAGCCCCAGGAACTCGAAAACAAAAAATGACAACAAAAAAATACTAACATCCTTGGTTTGGTTTGTCGATTTCTTAGAAATTTAAACATAAATTTACATTCCTAAGTACCTACTCCCAAAAAATGGAAATTATGTGTTCATGCAAAGATTCCAAAAGCAAGTCCATGGCAGGATTATTCACAGTAACCTAAGAATGAACGCACACACATGCCCATGTGCTGACGAACAAGTAAACAAAATGGTGGTATGTATGTAACACAAGGGACCACTCAGCCACTGTAAAAAAGACAAAGCACTAATGCATGCTACAACATGGTGAACCTCAAAAACACCACAGTGAGTCAAAAAAGTCACACACAAAAGACAACAGTTAAAGTAGTATCTAGAACAGACAAATCAGTAGAGAGAGAAAGCTGACAGGTAACTGCCTGGGCTTCACAAAAAACGGGGAGTGACTGGGTTTCCTTTCGGAGATAGTAAAAAATGTTCTAAAGTGATGAGGATGATGCTTGCATAACTAAATATACCTTTAAAATGCTGAATTTTACATTTTAAATTAGCGAGTCACAGGTTATCAGTTATACCTCAATAAAGCTGTAATTTTAAAAAACAGGAAGACATCCTACAGGTTATAAAGTAGACAAAAATGATCCCATTTTTTGTAGGAACTCTCTCTTGTATGTTCTAATCACAAACTTACAAACATTCTCAAACACAAACATACACACACAACAGGTGCACACAAAAATTCCTGAAAGGTATAAATTAATTAACCTATAACAGTCATTTGCTCTTGGTTGCAGAATACAGAGAAACTGGTATTTTCACAAGAGAAAATAGAAGATTCCATGACCATTTTGCTTATTGTCTATCCTGGATTTAAAGTTAGTAGTATCTTTTGTGGGGAAGTAAGGAGGTCGTCCTGGGGATTTAACCCAGGACCTCACACATGTTAGGCCCATGGTCTGCCACCAAACTATACCCCTAGCCCTTTTTATTTGCAAACTGGAACTATGTTGCTCAGGGTGACCTTGAACTTGCAATCAATCCTCCTGCATCAGCTTCCTGGGTAGCTGGGATTATAGGTAAGCACCACCATGCTTGGCTATATAAAAAAAATTTTAAATGGGAACATATATTACTATTTTAAATATTTTATTCACTATTTTAAAATATTAAATTTTAAAAGCTTGAATTTTATACCACCGTCCCAATTTCTGAATCAAACCTTCCCGACTCATTAAGTCACTGGTCTAATAAAGTATTCTTTCTGGTCCTTTTAAAAATTAGGTAAGTCTTTTAAAAAATTACTCTAGTCACCAAAAATGCCTTAAATGAATACCTCTCTCAGAGGTGACAGTGCAGCACAGCTGGAGTACAAAGCATTGTAAACTGCCAAGTTTCCGGGACAGGACAAGTACTACTACACTTGTGGGGAAAAAGAGCTGTTCAAAACGCTGAAGACAGAGCCATCTGGCATACACTCTAGCACAATTCCAAGACTGGTAGTAGCAAGAGGGGCTTTTATCTCCTTTTAGTCAGATACAAAAACACTAGCTAGCTTTCTGAAAGACATATTCAAAAGAAAGCTAGCCTGCTATGGGCAGTAATATGAGAAGTAACAGGGATACTGGAAAGGTACTGGAATGTTAAAAAAAAAAAAAAAAAAAAAAGGCACCCAGCTTTCAGGTATGCAGTTTAACCACAAGGACAAGCTTCAAAACTAGGAAGAAAAATATAAAAACTGAGAGAAGCTGGGCATGGTGGTACACACCTGTAATCCCTGCACTCGAGGCTGAGGAAGGATGATCGCCACAAGTTTGGGGCCAGCCTGAGCTACACAGTGAGTTCAAGACCAGTCTAAAACTATATAGCAAGAGCCTGTCTTGAAACACCAAAAAAAAAAAGGCCAACTAAGACAAAGTGTATAAACATTCTCTCCAAACCTTTTGCAGGATGACCTAAAAAAAAAAATTAATTTTGAAATATAGGAATTTTTTAAATGAATAAAACATTTAAACTATATATATATATATATATATATATATATAGTTGCCAATGTCTTCCAGGTCTGGTTTTTGCCTTTATTAAAGTAATGCATGTACTCAAGAAACTTTAACCAGTATATAAAACTATAGAGAAGTAAAGCAGTAATGCCAATTCTAATGTTAACTTTATGAAACGAAGGACAGCTCAGATTCAGTTCCACCAAAAAAATCTACCATCTAGCTACAGCTGTTACTAAATTTGTTTATATTCTTCTAAATACAATTATTTCTAAAATGTATGAAGCTGTACATTTTTTATCTAAAACTACATACAGTTAATGAAGAGAAAAAACCTTGTCAGACCTAGCACAAATGAGTACTCAATAAATGTAAGTAAAGGAACTGACTTAAGCCTGGAGCTGAACCTCGGAACCCGTGTTTTCACCTCGCTGGACTATACATGTGTAGAATATATTAATATGTACACACAGAAAAAAAAAAATCAAAAAGGTACAGACTAGCCCATCAAACTGGGCTACTTCTGGGGAGCAGGAGCATGAAAACAGGATGTTGTTACAATAAATTAAGACTATAAAGCAACTGAGTACTTCTGACACATTGCCGTCCTACGGGTCGCAGATTTTCACAAAGGGAAAGAAAAACTCAGTGTCTTCTTACAGAACTTTATGCTGCTGCTTTTTTACATATTCTTATCCTCAGTGATACTCAAGAAATAGAGGAAAGAGACAACAGCTACTTGTTCCTGTAGAATCCAACTTCATCCAATGAGGAGGAAGTAGAAAGGTTTAATAGCTGGAAAAAAAGCAGAACCTTGCTGCTTCTGGTCCTATGACCTCGAGATTCCCAAAGGGTTAGCAGAAGTAAAATACACAGCTATTTGAAGGGTAAAAATTATTTAAAGTAAGTTGGATGGAAATCCTTTAAGGATTTAAGTTACGAAAATTTATTTAGCATAGCTTAATAACTTAAATATGTCTTTCAAGGGTGCTACATATTCCCATATCACCTTACTTCCTCTACCCCACCTCACTCAACATACTTGTCAATTATTAAATTTTCTGGCATATAAAATATATCTGGATAAAATATATTACCCACATTTCTAACAGAGCAGGGAAATAGCATGAAACTTCCACTGTCAGATATTAGTAGGCCTGACTAAACACATCTATGAGCTTTGAATTCTAATAAGATGACAATATTACTTTTTTTATTTTATTTTTTTCAATTCTATCTTGTTATCCTTAGAAAAACCGAACGTTCACTTAACTACAGGACAAGCTGGCCAGTGGTTAATGGTAAACTCTCTGAACCTGGATTGCCTACATTCAAATCCTACTCTGCCATTTACCAACTGTGAAAGTTATACTCTCTGGCCTCAATTTCCCCATCTATAAAACTAGAGTAATAATAGTACTTACTCTTTATGTCGCTTTGAGAATTAAAGGACTTTAAAGGCTGAGATAGAAGATTATAAGTTCCAGCCCGTCGTGCGCAACTCAGTGAGACCATATCTCAAAGTAAAATTAAAGGGCCGGGGATATGGTTGAGTGCAAAGGCCCCAGGTTCAGTCCCTAATATAGTGAAGAGTAGGGGGAGCATAACACACACACGAGTTTTTTTAATCAGTTAAAGTTTATTGGTACATTTTAGATATACACAACGATCACATTCATCATAGGGAATTTGTACCTGTACACGATATTCTTATACAAGGTGTTTTGAATAACACCTCACATATAATGACCACCATACAAGTGTTACACGCTATTCTTAATAGTCAAAAATTTTAACAAAAACAAACTGAAACCACTTCATGCCTTAAAAGAGTGCTCATGTAAGAAAAAAAAAAAGTAAAAAAATAAAAAGAGTGCTCATGTAAGAGGTAGCTAAGGGGATTAAAGTTCAGAAACTTTCCATTTTCATAAAAACCAAAATTGCATTAAAACATACAACGCACAGTCTTTTTTTTTCTTTTTTTTTTTTTTTTTTTTTGGTCTTTTCTCCTTTTTATCGGTACCAGGGATTGAACTCACGACTGCCTGCTTGCAAGGCAGGCGTTTATGCCGCTGAGCTAAATCCCCAGCCCCACAACGCACAGTCTCACCTACCTGTTTGGAACACAAGTTCTTTCCCTCCGACACCTGCTGCTTCCAGGTTAATAAATGCACGAATCAAGCTGGCCCATGGATGCTGAGTAATGAAACCATGACTGGCCTTAGGGAGAAAGAGAGAAACAATCTTTTAAGTTTCTGATATGAGAAAAATAACATGAAAACAAAATAGTAATTTCCCAAAGATGCATTTCTAGGAAAAAAAAAAAACGCTTGTAGTTCTATACTTAATAACCATGTGCAGGCTGCTCAATGAAAAGCTATCTATCACAAAGGCAGCCTGATTACTATGAGTGGTGCTAAACAACATTACTGGAAAGTGTGAGGCTGTGCAAAGAAAGAGCAGAGAAAACAGAAGCAGAGAGAAGATACAACCCATATGGCTAGGCATTCATGCTGTGTGCCTGCTTAGACACATCTCTGAGACAACAGGGCCAGAGAAGACCGGAGGAAGCAGCTGCGGTGCACACCTGTAATCCCAGCACTCAAACAGGCCACAGCAGGACTAGCACAGTCAAGTTCAGCCCAGACAATTCAGTGACTGAGGTCCAATTTTTACAGTGTTTAAAAAGACTTGGGATCGGGGGCTAGGGCTTTAGCTCAGTGGCATAAGCACCTGCCTTGCAAGCACTGTGAGTTCGATCCCTGGTACCAATACAAAAAAAAAAAGACTTGGGATCAACTCAGTGCAAAAGGCCTAGAGTCAATCCCCAGTATTTAAAAAAAAAAAAAAAAGAATCACACTGCCACTCCCAGAGCGGCTTGTTCCAAACTGAGTTTTACAAATATTGACCATGTCTACATATATTGATTTTTAAAACAGTGCAAGATAAAATATTTCTCTGCACATCATTTTGATACTACTCACATGAATAAAAATCAATGTTAGTTAGCTTTTATTACCCTTATTAATCAAGCTGAGTACTCAGAATTGTAAAATCTCACTTGTAAGACATTTTCCTCAGCACCATTGAAGAGAAATACCACGGCATGCTGTAAAGCTTCTGAAGATGTTGATAAGACTCGAAGGACTTCCAGCATCACTGAACAACTAACCGCATCGTCGCTGGCACCTTCAAATCAGAGAAAACATATTTGTTTCTCAGATTTCAAAACCTTTACATTACGAACCATTATGGCTATGAATGGCCGTGTCTTCTCAGAGAAGCATCACAATAGCTACATGAATAGCAACACAGCTGTCATTGTCAGGCGACAATTACACCTACCAGTAATAAGCCCCACAAAGATCTCACACACTCACACACACAAAGACCCTTGTCTGGTTTGCTCACTGACTTATAATTAATGCCTAGAACTATGCCTGGCTCACTGAAGATATTCAATTATCTCCTAAACAAATCAAGCAAGTGAGACGCAAAATCATATTAAAAACTGGTATTCTCAGCATCCAAACTGCTCAGCATCATTCTTTATTCCTATTAACATCCTCTGTAATAAACACTTCTGGAACACATGGCTTCCTCTATGTCCCACCCCGACTCATTCCCTTGTCTTCCTATAAAAATCAGGATGCAAATAGTTCTACATCTACAGAAGGGGCAGTGTGAACGTACAGTATCTTTTAATGTTTTTCCAAGGGAACGGGATGAAAAAGTACGAAGACTATAACCATCTAGTGATACAAAGGAAAGGAGAATAGTGCCCTAAGTTGTGTTCTTATGTTCTGCACTGAAACAACAGAGAACTTGGTTATACCTCCTACCCTTTTAACTCAGCAACTTTGTATGTTAATTAAGAGATAAAGAGGACTATAGTGCCTTTATTTTTTAAAAGCACTGCAAGAAACTTGGCTATTTGATGATACGCAGGAATTAAGGTTTTCAGGGTGAGGGAAGATGTTTTACAGTGTGGAGGTCAAATCCATACTAGGAAAATATTCTACAAATGGGCTTTATCCCTAACTTGAATGTTTGGTTTTTAGGCAAAATAACTGAAGGAATTGTTAAGAAGGCAAAAAGGATGCTTATCTTTCAGGAATATAGACTGAGACAGTTACCCAGGAAACAACACAGCAAAGATCTGCTTCAAAATAAGGACTTGGAGGGCCAAGGCAGAAAAGAAGAACCAACTGTTGAACCTCAGTGATAAATGCATTTAGACTAAAGTATTTCTCATGTATCTGTAATTTTCCACAACAAATTTAAAGAAGGCAATGGCATTTCTGGGCATGTGCACTAGGTAGGGTACTACAAAGTTTAGTGGGATTGTGGAGCAGGAAAGTCTTAGAAGGGCCAAGGAAGTAGCTCAGGGGCAGAGCACCTTCCTGGCAAGCCCAGGCCCTGAGTTCAATTCCCAGTACTAAAAAAAAAAAAAAAAAAAGACTTAAAAATAAACTTTAGCTCTGTTGCTTTACTTCACTATTTCCTGACTAGAAAGCAAGCTAATAACATCTACCTCACAGTTTTGTTGCAAGAATCACACAAAACATCCCCAGTGCCTAGCACCTGGGAAGCATTGTGTTTCTTTTTCCTTCTCCTTATAAAGGCCCTTAGCCAGCTAAAATAAACTGCTTTTGTTTAGGCTGTGTTAATTTCCAGACTGTGTTCAAGAAGAAACATTGTCTTACTGGTGATTACTACATTATATTTTAGTAAAAGTGAAACAAAAATAAGTTATCAACCCTGAAGGGAGACATATACAGTAAACAGTGTCACTTTCCAGAAACCAAATGATACAAACTTGCTTGAGTTACTTGAAAGTAAAAAAAAAAAATTCTTTATTCAAAGTTAAAAAAAAGCAGAAAAGTATATAGGATTAATTAAAATTCTGTCCATTTACTTTTCTTATACTAACAGTTCTGCTGACCCTCTCTAGTCAAAACTTTTGAGAAGGGTCAAAAACCTTTAAAGTGAAAGAAAGAGGACACTACAGTATTTAAAGAGGCTGGGTCATTAACCAACATTCTTTTCCACTTAGAACTAACACTGAAATTGAAGCCACTCCCAAAATAACCCAATGTCTCTTCTATCAATGACCTGGAGAACAATACAATAGACCCAAAAAGATAACTAAGGTCTTTTGGTGGGTAAAATTACTTCAAACTGGTATCAGTTCTGGAGGTGCAGATACTCTACTGAGAACTTTTAAAACAATAGTTACTGGGGTGGAAGTACAGCTCAACAGCAGAGTACTTAACTAATAAGCATAATATCCCAGTTCAAACCCCAACATCAAGCCAGGCATGCTGGCACACACCTGTAATCCCAGGACTTAGGAGGCTAGGGTGGGAAGACCACTGTGAATTTGAAGCCGGCCTAAACTACAGTGTGATCCCATCTCAAAAAACAAAAACAGACAAACTCCAGCATCACAAAAAGAAAAAAAAGGGGAGGGGGACAACTCATGCTTCAAATAGATGATTTACTAAAAGCATTTGGGAGATACTGTATCTGGTGAACATGTAAAAGATTATTTTTAATACCTTACTATTTATTTAGAGAAATTTCCTTGAGATTGTTAATACAGATGTTCCTATAAAATTATATGTAAAAACAGGTTCTAATAGGTCACAAGAATGCCATCTTTTAATTAACGAACTTCAATTTATAATATTCGGTACTATATAAGAAAGGTAGCCAAGTATGCCGCCCCTAGGTAAAGTGACACCCTGGTCTCGCCTGTAATGCCAGCACTTAGGAAGCTGAGACATGAGGACTGCAGCAAGTTCAAGGCCAGCAGGGGCTACATAATGAGTTTTAGGGCAGCCTGAACTACCTAGCAAGACCTTGTTTGAAACAAAAAGATAAACAGAAAAAGTCACCCCAAAATATGAATTATATTGAGCTAAAAGCAACTGAGAAGCAGGTAGTCCAAAAATCATGTTCTAGGAGCTGAGGATTTAGCTCAGTGGCATAAGCACCTGCCTTGCAAGCAAGCAGTCGGGAGTTCGATCCCCGGTACCGATTAAAAAAAAAATCGTGGTCTATTCTCTTCCAGGAAGGACAAGGGTTGATCACCAAAGACAGCTGTGGACCCTAATAGCCTACAGATAGCATCAGAGGAAATCTATCCTCTAGATGACAAACTTTACTAACTACCCTTCATTTACTATTTGCCATCTCACAACCTGAAGCCCACAGACATTCAAAGTTCTTTTCTTTTTTCCTTCTCCAAAGGAAAAAAGTCACTTCTCCAAAAAGACACAGCTCTTTGTTGAAGAAACTATACAAACCAGATGCTATACATCTCTGAGATTTTACTCATTTTCCCTGGATATCCCACATGTACAGATGATATATATATACAATTAACTTTTCTTATTAATCTATCTTCTTATCAGTTAGGAGTCGATGCTATCTGAAACTTATGAAGGATGGAAGGAAAATTATTTTTTCTTCCTCTACATCAGTTTCTGATATTTGCACATCTTACATAGTCGTTCTTCAGTAACCATGGTATTTATTTGCACTTTCCCAGAATTTGAGCATAATAGACACTACTAAGTGGGATGACCTTTATTATTGCTTTGAAATGAAGGTAAGCACCACTGATTTCTTCAGAATACACAAAGATACTTCTGCCTTTATATAACAAATGTGCACATATTAACTTCTGAAAAAGCAAAAGCACAGTCTAAATATTACTGTCTACCTTTCTTTGTTTTTGAAGTTTGTAATTCAAATTTATTTATTTTTTTTTATACCGGGGATCAAACTCGCCCCATACCTGCCAAGTATGTGCTTGTGCTGCTGAGCTAAACCCCAGACTCCTGCAGTTCAAATTTGAAGTCTTAAGTTGACTAGACATTGTTTCCTGCATGGTTTATCTCCTCAGTCACTGCCCAAAGGACTCTGAGAAGTTGTTAGAATATTCAGGCGCAGACACAAGACCCAGCTTCTTCTCCAACGTTGTGGAAAGGGAACTGTACATCAGGGGGCAGAGGCCTGTGCTCCTCTACACTACCTGGAAAGAGCCTGGGGAGAGTGACCTCTCGGGTATCCACGTTGGATTAGCTTTTAATTAAAGATAACTGCAATCTAAACTGTTTTGTCCAGTAAATTTCACATTTTATGTAACTATATTGGAGTTGTTATATATTCAAATAATCTAAAAGTATTAATATTTAAAATCAATACCAAAAACAAAAAAAGTAAGACTTTCCCTGAAAGGGATATTTAATCCTTTGAGCAACACTATTAGGAAATTACTATATTTTATTGAACAGATGAGAACTGAAAGGATTACTAAACTCTAAACCTTCCTTCCTTCCAAAAGCAGCTGCAAGAACTTCCAAGGCAGGAAATCCAGAATCTGATCCCAATTCGACCTCTCAGTAGTAGTGATCAGCTAAATTTATCCCAAATGAGGAAGCTAAACCAGATGCCATCTTGTATCTAAAATGCTGCAATACCACTTTAAAAGGCTATTTTCTATTGCCACCTACCTACCAACTACTGAAAACATTTTTCTGAGGAATCTTGTAAGTGAAAGTAATTTTGGGGATTCTCATTCACGACAATTATGGTAACTGGGCCCCTTCCTAAACATTAAGCACTGCATTCTGTTTTGTCTATATTTTTCACAGCAAGAATTTAGTTAGCTCTCTTAACAATATGGCATACTCCAAGTAGACTAAAATCCTCCCTCCACAGGTCGAGAGAAAATACTAGAAGTAATGTCCTCCAAACTACACATCACTTAAGGACCGGACAGTCCCTTACCTGGTGTCCCCAAGACTATTACAACAATTAGTTGCATAAACACTTGAAGCAAGGGAATCTGATTATAAGACAAAAGCATGAACACTGTCCAACACTGATAAGGGTACATCAGAAACACCGTGTACTGTCACTGGGTTGCTAGTACTATGCTAAAAACAATAATAATGTGAGTGGTACACACCTATAAAATCCCAGCACTCAGAGGACTGAGACAGGAGGATTGCTCTGAACTGCACAATAAAGCCCTGTCCCGAAAAGACAAAAAAAAAGCGTTCAAACTACAAAAATGGTCCCCAAGGAGCTTTGGGTTACCAAACTTTCTCACTGCAATGACTAATAAAGACTGCAAAGCACACCCACCTGGTGAACTTGGAACTGAGTCAAAATGGCAGTTAGCCAGGACAGCATGCTGGGCTCCACCTCTGGGTTCCAGTTTTACTACAACATTGGTGATATTGTCATAGTAGCTTGTAAAACCTCCCAAGAAGTCAATGCTAAAGGAACCTGTGGGCCGCTGTACATCTACTGAGATTTTGTGAAGACTGCTGCTTTGAACTTCGATGAGTTTAATCTGTTCCAAGAGGTACTGCACCGTCAGAATTTCATTTTCTGGACTTCCAGTAGTCCTGGGGCCAACGGCTGTAATATGTTCAAGATAATCCCTGAAAGCAACCAAAAGAATGATGATGGCAAACACTTGATTTAAAACTAACACTTAGCATAGAGCAACTTTTCTACTATACACTTCTTCCTCTTCCAAAAAACTTAGTCCTTCGACTTCTCATATAAAAAAGAATGCCTTTAATTATTTCAGATACACTGAGAAAAGCATGTGTAGTTACAACATTTTGCCTCCCAGCAGTTAACACCTTCAAAATTTTCTCCTACCTCACTCCCACCTTCTAATAACCCTTAAATCAATATAATGACCAGGGATTACAATATATTCAAAATGTGTAATGTTTAACTCCCGAAGGCTAGATAGGTCAGAATTCGACTTTAGTGGGCTGTAGTCCTGAGAGTTCTGGATTCTGGATTCTGAGTTACCAACCCTAAGTGGCAGAAAACTATAACGGAGTACAATCAAAAGGTTAAATAAGCAAAGAAAAACTTCTGATGGTGAAAAATGGACTCATCCTCCTCCTGCTGTGCACAGGGACCTAATAACTTCAATTCGCAACAAAACCAACTGTATCCCTAATGAAAACAAAAAACAAAACAAAACAAAATTTGTATGTCTTTTAACTACAAGTGAAGAAAAATGGGGATACAGCCCAGAAAGTCCTTAGGAAAATAGGTTTTCAGCATTTTGCTTTGAAAGAAAAAGTTAAAACACAATGGTGATTGAAACTCTTTCTGCTACCTTGCAATTTCACAAACTTTAAAACAGTATCTTTGATTTAATCACCTTTCCCAGCAAAATGTCTTTTAAAAAGGCAAACCTGGGGCTGGGGATTTAGCTCAGCGGCAAAAGCACCTGCCTTGCAAGCAGGCAGTCGTGAGTTCGATCCCCGGTACCGGTAAAAACGAAAAAGACCAAAAAAAATAAAAAATAAAAAATAAAAAATAAAAAAAAATAAAAAGGCAAACCTAGCCAAATGTGGTGGCACATGCCTGGCCCAGCACTCTCGACATTTAGGCAGGAAGATCGCTGGAAGTTCAAGGCAGGCCTGTGCTACAAAGTGAGTTCAAGGCCAGCCTGAAGTGCATAGTGAAACCCTGTCTCAAAAAGAAAAAAAAGTCAAACCTTACACAATCACCCAAAGACAATCTGACAAGCGAAATTATGTGTGCAAAATTAAACGGGTAGTCTCTCCCACAGGCAGCCGCCACAGATTTGGGGACTACAAGCCCTCAAAAGTTTGAGCAATACACTAGCCCTTTCCAACAACCTCCCCCAACAATCCTCACCAAAAAAAATTAATTTAGACACATACATTTCATTCTACTTCACTTCAAAGGAAAAGCAGTGCTAACCCAGGTAACAAATTGCAAACTGCTCTGGGGCGAGAGGGCATGACTAATAACCAAAGCATCTGCAGGCAGGACAGTATAAAGGTGAACGAGCAGGCTTAATCCAACTGGCCATCCCCGGTCTGCCCCAGAAGCTACACTCGGCAACAGCCAACCCCTCTCTCTGCTGTTTGCACCCCAGAAGGCCACACATGGCCACCTCTCGTGCACTCGGAAACGCAGGGGACCTGCGCCCCGGGGCCGCGGAGGGACGCGCGAGCTGCGCCCGGCCGGTACCTTGCCTGGCGCGCGTTGAACTCGCCGCGGTGACCAGCAGGCCGGCGCAGCACGAGCTGCTGCAGCGAAAGCTGCACGAGCGCCCAGAGCACTAGAAGATAGAACGCGAGCCCCAGCGCGGCGCGCGCCTCCGACAGCCCGCTCCCCGCGCCGCCGCCGCCCGCCTGGCTCCTTTTCCGCGTCCTCGTGCCACTGCCGCGCGCGTCCGCCGGGAGCTCCTGCGCCGGCGTCTCCCTCTCCGGTTGTGTAGTGGCCGCAGCCGATTCTTCCCGGCGTTCAGATCCGACGCGGTGCCGCCTCACAGCCCCAGACTCGGAGCCCCACTCCATGGTCACAAGCCTCAGCCGGCAGTCCAACTGCCCGGCCCCCTACAAACCCGGCAGCCGCAGCGCCTCCTAGTGAGCGGACGGAAACTGTAGAGGGCCAAACTTCTTCTGATTGGCCGAGCACGCCGAGTGAGGTAGCCGGCTGACCCAGGCCAAGCGGTGTGTTTCCTTTGGCAAGGCTTTCTACTCGGATGTGGGACAGAGGTTTCCACCCCTAAAGCTTGATAAGTGCAGAACGCTTTTCAAACAATGCCCGTGGTTTAAGGTGCCTCAGTTGAAGAACAGTATGGCCCAGCTTTCCATAAAGAACATTAAAAAGGGCTTTGGAAAACAAACGTTCTTGTCTCCTAAAGTGAAAAACAAGACTTAACACAAGAAGCCCAACCTATAGCTTTCACATGAAATCTAGTAAGAACTTTATAACTTGGGGTGATAATTAGGAACTGTCTCCATTTAACAGATAAAGAATAGGGCTGGGGATGTAACTCCTTGGGGAACTTGCCTAGCATGGGTTCAGTTCTTAGCACAACTCAGACAAAAAATAACAGATAAAATAGTAAAAGCTACTTAGTAAATACTACTATGGCCTGTTACTGTGCTAAGTGCACTAATAACTTTTTCATTTAAGAACCTGAAAAGAAATATTCTATTTGAAAGTCTAATTTCAGAGCTGGGGATTTACCTCAGCGGCATAAGCGCCTGCCAGGCAAGTGCGACGTGAGTTCCATCCTTGGTACCACAAAAAAAAAGTCTAATTTCATGAGCTCACAAAATAGCATTTTGATTCACTACTACAAATGGCGCTCTGGAAAGGAAACTTTAGAAAAACTGTTCTTCCTTCAAAATCATCCTGTGGAAGAAGCAGAGCCTTGCTTTTTTTTTTTTTTTTTTTTTTTTGTCTTTTTTCTTTTTATCGGTACCGGGGATCGAACTCACGACTGCCTGCTTGCAAGGCAGGTGCTTATGCCGCCGAGCTAAATCCCCAGCCCCCAGAGCCTTGCTTTTAGTGTGATCCTAGCTATCAATCTGCCTCTGTCTCAAAGTCTGTGTAGCATTTCTGCCTTCACAAAACTTACATTCTAACAAGGAGAAAATAAACACGTTTGTGAATAAAATAAATTGATGTAAGTGCTCTGAGGAAATTAAAGTAGGCAATCGAGAGAGACAGAAGCTCCTGTTTTGTTGGAGTGACCGAGGGTTCTCAAAGAAGTGAGGAACTGGATCACATGAACCTGGAACACAATACCCCAGAAATAGGGGAACATGTCTAGAAGTAACATTGACTAATGCCTTTGGCTAAACCAGACTGAGCCAGGGGGCAGTGGGAGAGGTGAATCATAGTAGCAGGCAGGGGCCAGCACAGAGAGGGTCGCCTGCTCCTAGCAAGAACTTATGGGTGGTTTTGAACAGTGAAAGGTCGTGTTCTAAACACTCCTAGTCTCAATCCAAGCCAGAGGAACTCAGAAACCATACTTAGATCATGTAGACTCATAGCCCTTGATAATTCTTTGCCTTTGAAACATTGGAAGCCACTTTGATTTGTGTTTTATTTGTGTACAAAGGAAAACGCAAGTCAAGCATGGTAGTCCCTGCCTGTAATTTCAGCACTCAGGAGGCTTCGAGAAGAGGATCATGAGTTTGAGGCTATCCTGGGTCACACAGCCAAACCTGTCTTAAACCCTCAGAGCATAGCACCTTATTTGTCATAAACATAGATGAACGTGGGTATATTAAACTCATGTTTATTCTTTAGAATATTTCTATTAATGAATTTTTAATTTTAATTTTATGATTATTACATTAAACAATGAATGCTTAACAGAAAACACTAAAGTAAAATATTGCATTATTAATATTGAGCTGTTTATAAAAACATCAAAATTTTCAATAATCACTAGTTTTTTGGTGTACAAAGTGTAACAGAACAGCAATAAATTCTGATAGAGCTGGTCAACAGCGACCAGTCCCCCACCACACATACACCATTGTAAAACCCCAAACATAGGGACAAAAAGTCTATTACCGCCTTGCAAGAGCCTGATGGCAAGAACAAGGAAATATCCCCTGTAACAGAAAGCCCCACTGCCAACCTCCTCCAGAGAAAGACACCATACACAGAAGGTGCAAGAGCCACCTACAGCTCTCAGCCCATGACCAAAACAATACCTACCCCACTTTTAACTGTCGATAAAAACCCTGCTCAGCCCTGCCCTGTGCACCTTGCCCTGGTCCGCTGAGTAAAGTGCCACTTCTGCTTCCCATAAAACTCCTTGTGTTGACCTTGTGGTGTATTCTGGTTCTTGGCATGAAGTTCAGTTGCTTTATCAAATTCCTATATGAATTACATGAAAATACCAGTAGCACTCTACAAAAGGAAAATAATCTTTAATTATCACGTCCAAGGCAGTCTTCACATATGACAAAGGCACATTCTATACACATCTGTCACTTACATTGATTGTGCACGTGTTTTACTTTCCTAGCCTTTTTTCCCCCACTATTTTATTTTGAAGAGAATAAAGCAAAACAAAATAAAACAGAATAGGTCCAAGCAAAACAAAACACTGAATGTGATACAGGACTTCAAAACAAGATAGTAAGAAATCAACAACGGCTTCCATAATGCCTCTTGTTATCTTCAAAGTAGCTACGAACACCATCATACATAATAAAACAAAACAAAATGGGATAAAATCAGTCAAAACAGAATAATGAAAGTGATCCAGGGCTTCAAAACAAGATAATACAAAATCGACAATGGCTACCATAATATATCTTGTTATGTTCAAAACAGCTGCCCATACCAACAGATATAATAAAATCAAACAATAAAACCAAACACAACTGAACAATGAATACAGCACTTCACAACAAGATAATAAGAAATTAACAATGGTTACCACCTTCCCATTTTGGACATTTCCTCCCTTTTAACTTTCACAATATCAATTGTACATTTTGGATCGCACTAACTCCTTTTTTTATGCTATGGAGACAACACAATTCTCACTCATCTGAGTCTGAACCCTTTCACCCATTAGTATTATCTCATGTTGCATCCATTTTTACCTACAAGAGTCTCGAGGTTATCCTTGTTTATAGCTGAGTAGCTTTCCATTGTATAAAAACACCATATCTTTCTTAGCCATTCTGCAGTTGATGGGTAAGCTACCCCTGCTCTTTTTGGTTCCTATCACCTGGAGCATAGTTTTCACTCCTTTGACTTTAATCTATGAATTTCCTTTTGAGTTAAATGTTTCTTGTACACTGCATACCGGTGGATCTTGTTTCTTGATCCACTCTGTGTTTCTTTTTATTGGTCGATTGAGGTAATCTACATTAATGGTTATGGCCATCATGTACTGGCTCCTCTCTGTCTTGCAATTTTCCTGCCATTGGCTCCCTACATTTGGTCTCCACTCAATTGTTTTTGCTGTTTGACAATCCCTCATTGCCCCTGTTCCTGGAACTGTGTCATTTTTCTCTCCCTCTAGAATACCCTTCAGTACTCTTTGCAGGGTTGATTTGTTCCTTCACTTGTTTTTGTCATGGAAGTATCTGTTTCTCCATTAATTTTGAAAGATAGTTTTACAGGGTACATCAGTCTGGGTTAGATGTTTTCTTTCAGGACTTGAAATGCTTTATTCCAAGCTTTCTTGACTTGATAGTTTATGTTGAAAAGTATGCTGTGATTTTGATGGGTTTTGCTTTATAGGTGATCTGTTTCTTTTCTCTAACTGCTTTTGTATTCTGTTTTTGTGCTGGATTTCTGGGATCTTGATTATCATATGTTTGGATGTAGATTTATTTTGGTTATGGCTAGTTGGAGCTCTACATGCCTCACTTATTTACATGTGGGTTCTTTTCCCATATTTGGAAAGTTTTCTGCTACTGCTTTTGTAACTACTCCTTTTATGTTATTTGTGTTGACCCTAAACTGGTTGTCAACTTTACACCAGCTGAATTAAATCAGCATGGTGCTGAGTGTAGATGGCCCACCTGAATAAAGTTGGCAGCATAAATAGAGACATGTAGAAGAGCTAGGCATTGTGGGTTTCTCCGTGTTGCTGTCTTGAACCATTGGTTCTACTGGAGGAAATGGTCATGAATAGCTTCCCCAGTGCAAGTTTGAACATTGTCATTAGAGTACCTTGGGACCTTGTTGGTGAGAATGGCTGTGGTTCACTTTGGGGGAGCGCTGGTCCTTACATCAAGCATCACTTCTTGGCTCCAGAGGGAAAGAAGTGTGGTTTAATCTCCAGAAGAAATTTGTCATGCTGGCTTTCTGGCATGTACTCAACTGTTCTTATCATTGGAGGACCTCTGTGCCACTGAAGATGGCTGTGGTACTTTTCAGGGAAGCCTTGGTTCTTATTTTGAGCATGACTTCTCAGCTCCAGTGTAGAACCCTCAATCTACCAGTACAGCTCCTTCACCTGACTGACATAGACTTTCTAGCTTCCACCGCTGAACTTTGGGCCTTCCCAGCACAGATCCATAAAAGAGACTGGCATGAGTCCTTCTCACGGGCTCTAGACCTTCAGTTGGATTTGAGGGAGGCATTGTCATGGGCTCTAGGTCTTCATCTGGACTCATGCAGGACATTGCTGTGGGATCCAAGTCCTTGGCTGAATATTCTGGGTCTTTAGTGTCGTGGACTTTCTTGTGTTTAACTCTGGGTGACCATCATAAAATAATATTATAAATTCTGTATCCTGATTCTAATAGTTCTGCTTACAACTCCTAACTACAACACCTTGCTTTTTCACTGACCCCTATCATTCATAAATTATTTTTCTTTGTGTCTTCTTGCAACCATTGAATTGTTATTTCCTTGTTATTTTTAAGAGATCTTTCCCTTTCCTGTGGTGATCACTAGCTGAAAACCTGTCTTTAAAGGTCTGAAATCCTATCTTTGGTTCCTTTCAAGCAGTTTTGCCAGCTTTCCATGGAGTTTTTAATTTCCTGGATATCTCTTTGAATCTATTGGGGCTGGGGATTTAGCTCAGCGACATAAGCACCTGCATTGTAAGCAGGCAGTCATGAGTTCGATCCCTGGTACCAAT